CCAAAATTTATTCTGATATCTTTTTAGTAAACAAAAAAAAAAACAAATTAGTTTAGAACCAAAAATTATAATTTTTCAAACTTTTTTTACATTTTTTTTTTTTATATCACCCCGTTGGTGCAGGGGCTTAGGGTCCTGCAGGCTTATGGGGACCATAGACGGGTTCAAAATCGGCCAATTTTCGCACCGTTAATGGGTTAATTGGTCGGCCGTTTTTCGTACTTTCTGCACATTTTTTTTATCGGGCATGTTGGAAAGTTCGCAGCCGATTTTGACAATCGGCCGATTTTCCTGGCAATGATGGGCAAACCGGCCGATCGTTTTACTGATAAAAAAAAAAATCTGCGCATGAGCCAGGAGGACAAGGAAGAGGACCAGGACGAGGAGAAGGAAGGAGGAGAACCAGGACGGGGAGGAGGACCAGGAGGAGGAGGAGAAGGAGGAGGAGGAGAACACAGGAGGAGGAGGACCAGGATGAGGAGAAGGATGAGGACAAGGAGGACAAGGAGGAGGAGAGAGAAGGAGAGGAGAAGGAGGAGGAGAAGGAGGACAAGGAGGAGGAGGAGGAGGAGAAGGAGGACGAGGAGAAGGAGGACAAGGAGGAGGAGGAGGAGAAGGAGGACGAGGAGAAGGAGGACAAGGAGGAGGAGAATTCCAGTCCGCTATTATATTTTATATGAAAGTCTTGCGGTTGCAACAATGCATCCATTTGTATCTATTTGTATCCGAATAAAACCATCTGTATCCGAAATGGATACAAATGGATACATTTTGCAACCGCAAGACTTTCAAGTAAAATATAATAGCGGAGCTCTCTGCAGGGACAGAAGTAATTATGGGGTTAAATGCCGGCCGTAGATGGGACAAAAATCATCCAATTTATTTTACCGTTGGTGATAACGTCAGCCAATCGAACAACAGATTTTTTTTTTTTTAAAAAAGGCCGGTTTTTGACCCGTCTATGGCCTATGTTAGGCTACGTTCACACTGCTCTGTATGAAAATGAATATTCATTCTTGCCACATTTTTTTTTCCCACGTTATGCGTTTCTTTTTTTTTTTCCACATTTGCGTTGCGTTTCCCCGCTATCACTTCCCACTATTCTAATGCAATTTCATGTGATTTCCAGAGCGACTTCTGATGCGACCTCAAAGCGACTTTATCTTTGTCGTACCATTCTGTGAACCGAGAAGGGAAATCACATTATATTCAGAGTTCAGTGTGATTCCGGCACCACAGATGGCTCTGTTACCTCACAAGTCGCATCGCATAGAGAAGAAACATTCCTATGCGACTTCCATGGATTTTTTTTTTTTCTTTAACCCTCAACTCTCCGCCCTCATCCTGGCTGCCTAATACCCGGGTCACACAAACAGGTCTGAGCCTTACATTTGTTGACTGACCCTTCTATCAATCGATCAATCCTTCAATCCTTTCTATCAATCGATCAATCCTTTCTGTTATCAATCAATTGATCCATCCTTTTATCAACCGATCCTACCATTTATCGGTTGATCCATTTATTTTCTTGATCAACCCTTCCTTTTATTGATCATCCAACCCTTCCTTTTATTGAGCGATTGACCTTTCCTTCTATGGATCGATCCTTACATTTATCGATTGAACAACCCTTTCTTTTATCGCTTGATCTATCCTTTTATCGCTTGATCTTTCCTTTTATTGATCAACTGACCCTTCCTTTTATCGATCGATAGACCCATCCTTCTGTCGATCAATATGTCCTTTTATCACTTAATCCTTCCTTTTATTGATCAACTGACCCTTTTAATCGATCGACCCTTCCTTCTAATGATCGATCCTTCCATTTATCGATTGATCCTTCCATTAATCGTTTAAATGATCCTTCCTTATATCAAAAAAATCTATCCTTTATCAATTGAACTTTCCTCTTTTTGATCAATCCTTCCTTTTATTGATCATCCGACCCTTCCTTTTATTGAGCAATCGAACCTTCCTTCTAGTGATCAATCCTTCCATTTATCGATTGAACGACCCTTCCTTTTATCGATCAATCTATCCTTTTATTGCTTGATCCTTGCTTTTATTGATCATCTGACCCTTCCTTTTATCAATTGATCGACTCTTCCTTCTATTGATTGATCAACCGTTCCTTCTATTGATTGATCCTTCATTTTATCGATTGATCCTTCCATTACTTGTTTGAACAACCCTTCCTTCTATCGATCAATCTATCATTTTATCGCTTGATCCTTGCTTTTATTGATCATCTGACCCTTCCTTTTATCGATCAATCAATTCTTCCTTCTATTGATCAATCCTTCGTTTTTTATCGATTGATCCTTCCATTAATCGACTGAATGACCCTTCCTTCTGTCAAAAAATCCTTTGTTTTATCGATTGAACCTTCCTTTTATTGGTCATCCGACCCTTCCTTTTATTGGTCAACTGACCCTTCCTTTTATCAATTGATCGACTCTTCCTTCTATTGATCGATCCTTCCATTTATCGATTGATCCTTCCATTAATCAGTTGAGCGACCCTTCCTTTCATCGAAAAATCTATCCTTTATCGATTGAACCTTCCGTTTTTTGATCAATCCTTTTATTGATCCTTTCCTATTGAGCGTCACTCCTTCCTTCTATTGATCACTCCTATTTATCGATTGAACAACCTTTCCTTTTTATCGATCAATCTATCCTTTTATCTCTTGATCCTTGCTTTTATTGATCAACTGACCCTTCCTTTTAATCGATTGATCCTTCCTTCTATTGATCAATCCTTCATTTTATCGATTGATCCTTCCATTAATCGGTTGAACGACCCTTCCTTCTATTCAAAAATCTATCGTTGATTGACCGAACCTTCCTTTTTTTTCAAACAATTCTTCCTTTTATTGAGCTGACCCTTCCTTTTATTTGACCCTTCCTTCCATTGATTGATCCTTCCATTTATCGATTGAAAGACCCTTCCTTCTATCAATCTATCCTTTTATCGCTTGATCCTTCTTTTTATTGATCAGCTGACCCTTCCTTTTATCAATTGATCGACTCTTCCTTCTATTGATTGATCAACCGTTCCTTCTATTGATTGATCCTTCATTTTATCGATTGATCCTTCTATTACTCGTTTGAACAACCCTTCCTTCTATCGATCAATCTATCCTTTTATCGCTTGATCCTTCTTTTTATTGATCAACTGACCCTTCCTTTTATTGATCGATCGACTCTTCCTTCTATTGATTGATCAACCGTTCCTTCTATTGATTGATCCTTCGTTTTATCGATTGAACCTTCCATTATTTGGTTGAACGACCCTTCCTTCTATTGAAAAATCTATCCTTTATCAATTGAACCTTCCTTTTTTTTTTTTTTCGATCAATTCTTCCTTTTATAGCTCAACCTTTCCTTCTATTGATTGATCAATCCTTTTATCAATCGATCATTTCATTAATCAGCTGATCTTTTTATCTATCGATCCTTCCTTTTATTGATTGATCCTTTTAGGCAACTGATCCTTCCTTTTATTGATCAATCTTTCCTTTCATCAATTGATCCATCCTTCCCAATCGATTGACTCTTCCTTTGAAAGGCTCCAAAACTGCAGCTGTATCAAAATCCATGGATTAAGGATGACCAGGGAGGGGAGGTGAGGGTTAAAAAAAATAACAACCCCCCCAACACAAAAAAAACCCCAAAAAAACACTGAATACATCTTATAGGAATACTTATCTATACCAATGCCACTTCTGTGAGATAACATGGAGGTCCACAAAGCTGAAGTCCACCAGGAACAGTCGCACTGCGCTGAGTCCCATTGATTAGAAGGACGACATTGCATACAATGGGATTTCCCTTTTCATGCGATTCTGTAAACCTGGGCTTGAGAACTTCCCACAGATGCCTTGCGTTTTTTATGCATTTTCCATTCATTTCAATCGAGGGATTCGTTTTTGGTGCATTTTTGTTTTGCCGGAACAAACATGCACCAAAAATGCAACTGAAGTGCAATGGACCCACGTAAAGAGCTACAGAGGATTTAAAGGGATGCAATTTTCTTCCACTTTTTTTTTTTTAAAAGCGGAACGGTGTGAAAGCCACCTTGGGCTCATGAGGCTGAGCCAGCTACTGGTCAGGGATCTCGGCAGATCCTGACATTACTGTCAGGATCCCTGCAGTGCCTGGACCCGCTCTGTGATGAATCTGGGACACAGGAAGGCAGAACTAAAGTGCATGCCTAGGATTCCCCGGAGAAGAACGGTCAAAAGAGCTTTGGCCAGACTTTTTTTAACCCCTTCCAGTCCGGACGCTTTCCCCCCCCCCCTTCCAGTCCGGACGCTTTCCCCCCCCCCTTCCAGTCCGGACGCTTTCCCCCCCCCCCCCCCCTTCCAGTCCGGACGCTTTTCCGGTCCGGACGCTTTCCCCCCCCCCCCCCCCCCCCTTCCAGTCCGGACGCTTTCCCCCCCCCCCTTCCAGTCCGGACGCTTTCCCCCCCCCCCCTTCCAGTCCGCTTTCCCCCCCCCCCTTCCAGTCCGGACGCTTTCCCCCCCTTCCAGTCCGGACACTTTCCAGTCCCCCCCTTCCTATCCAGGCCAATTTTCAGCTTTCATCGCTATCACACTTTGAATGACAATTGCGCGGTCATGCAACACTGTACCCATATGAATTTTTTAGCATTTTTTTGAGACAGATAAAGCTTTATTTTGGTGGTATTTATGCACCGCTAGGATTTTTTTTTTTTTGCTATATAAATGAAAAAGTCCAAAAATTTTGAATAAAAGTGTTTTTCTTATAAAATTTTGCAAATAAATAGTATTTCATCATAAATCTTGGCCAAAATTTATTCTGTTATCTTTTTTAGTAAAAAAGAACAAAAAAACACCAAATTTAGTTTATAACAAAAATTATAGTTTTTAAACATTTTTTTTTTACATACTGTCACCCTAGCAGTACTTGTGGGGGGTGATGTATTTTTTTTTTTTTTTTTTACACGGATTGCTTTTACAGCCTTTATGGGTATAAAAGCAATCATTTCTCCTTCTCTCTGGCTGCATTCTTGCAGCCATTGAGAAATACTGTGTGAGCTGTGATTGGTCACAGCTTGTCACATGGTACGAGGCTGTTGTGAATAGCCCTGTACCATGTGACCTCTGTGATCATTCCCAGATTTCACACGTAGTAAGCAATGATGTCAGAAGTGACATCTTGCTTACTACTCTTGGACAAATCAGTGATCACATGATCGGGACCTCGCACAGAGGTCCCATCCGACGATCAGTGTTTCACTGTGGGCACCGGATTGCGGTGCTGCGCTCCCAGGGAGCGCGCACAAGCAGGGTGTGGGGAGGCCGTTTATAAACGACCACCCGCCCCTGCACTGCCACCATCCGTCCGTTTATATACAACGGCTGGAGGGGAAGGGGTTAGTACTTTCCCAGCCGTGGACCCGTCACTAGTACGCAGGTCGGGTGTTCTAGCTTCATCCGAGGGACAGAAAAATAAACATTTTCATTTACATTTCAATGCTAATTTTTTTTCAGCGGAAACAAAAAAGAAAACACTCCCCCCCCCCCCCCCCCCAATAAAAATAATTGGTTTCAGTAAAATGAAAATATAGATTTTATTCTCAAATATATATTCATGTACATTGCATATACTGTGTGGGACGGACTGGAATGCCAGTGCTGCCTTCTGCTGGAAGACTTCATGCAGCTTTGATCCGCAGGGATGGAAGATACACGACTGACTCCTCTATATCCCTCTGTAGGGTTTGTGCAGCATTTTAATAAAGCCGTATTAAACCCAAAATGTCATACATTGCAGCTGGCCAATCAGATGTGGTGGCTGCATTAGTTTTCTTCTTTTTTTTTTTTTTTTTTTTTTTTTTTCCCCCCTCTGTTTTCACCTGGTGATCTGGTCAGTAACACCCCTCCTGTATTAGAGTGCTCCCACTCTGGAGGAAGGGGCACAGGGACAGCAGGACAGCAGCATTGTCAGTCTGGGGGGGAGTGTTAGACATACTAGCAGATTTAAATACACTAACAAATTGAAGCCAAACTCCAGCTCACACTTTATAGTCAGTGACAGCAAACAATATTTTTTCCTTTTGGGATAAAAGGTTTTACATCAATAAATTAGTGGTGCACCGAAATAAATTCTGGGCCGAAACCAAAAATTCAGGATGCACTTGGCCAAAAACGGAAACCGAAATGGACAGTTTAAAAAATAATAATAAAAAAATAAAATTAGATATTTTTTTTATTTATAAAATTGTATTGGATTCAACTTTTTAATTAATAATCAGGAATTTAAATAAATATTTATTAAAAAATGAATTGAAAAATTGAATTGAGATTTGAATTGAATAAATATTTATAAAAAAATGAATTGAAAAATTTAATTGAGAAATTAAAAAAATACAATCCAGTAACGTAAAGTAACTTTTATGGACAGTAACACACCAAAATTGTGCAGAAAATAAAAGGAAATATATATATAAAAAAAAATAAAAAAACCTAAATAGAGGAGTTTTTGCATTGAAGTCAATGGGGGCAATTTTGCATGGAAGTCAATAGCGGGTGATTTTGCACTGAAGTCAATCGGGGGAGTTTTTGGAAGTCAATGGGACGCGATTTTGCATTGAAGTCAACGGGGCGTGATTTTGCACTGAAGTCAATAGAGGGTGTTTTTGGAAGTCAATGGGGATGTGATTTTGCACTGGTCAAGAGAGGGTGTTTTTGCATTGAAGTCAATCCGGGGTGTTTTTGGAAGTCAATGGGACGTGATTTTGCATTGAAGTCAATAGGATACAATTTTGCACTGAAGTCAGTGTGACGCGATTTTGCATTGACCTCAATAGGACATGATTTTGCACTGAAGTCAATGGGACGTGATTTTGCATTGAAGTCAAGAGCGGGCATTTGTGGAAGTCAGTGGGGCACGATTTTTGCATTGAAGTCAATGGGACACGATTTTGCATTGAAGTCAATTGTCAGTGAAACCTTTTTTTTTCTATTGGCAAAACCCCAATAACCCTATTTTCGGCCAATAATTTTCGGCAGTTGATATATCGGTGCATCACTAGAAGAAAAAAAAATAAAGGCTGATCATTGTAAGCACCCCTGTCAGTGGTAAATGATTTGTCTCATCTCTGTAAACTGATACATTATGCTGGAGATCTTGTGCTTTTGAAAAACAACAAACTTACTGGCCAGATCACCAGATTAAATAGAAGAAAGAAAGCCTAAAAAAAAAAAACAAATGCAGCCATCACATGTAATAATTGGTAAGTGTCAATATAATAAATATAATAAAGGTTTGCTTTTGGGTTTAATACTGCTTTAGGGGTCTACCTCTAAGCTTTATCAGCAGTTTTGAGTGGATGCCATGGACTCGATTGCTCTCTGCCTGCCTTCACCTCTTAGGGGCCCCTGACTCTGAAGCCCTGGCGCTGAAATTAAGCCGGCCATAGACAAGTGGAAACCCAACAAAAATTCTTGTTCATCCGCCTGCTCAGCGGACGGATCCGCCTCGTCTGAAAGGGGCCAAAGAGTCTAACTTGTCCTGCTGCATTATATGGACAAACGTCTGCGGACGCCTGAACTTCACTCCCATTTTAAGCATTCTGGACAACCCGTTCCATAATCATGGGTATAAATATGGAGTTGGCCCCCCGTTCCTTTGCAACTTTAACCTTTTCACTGCAAGAGCTGTTTTTGCATTTTTTTGTACACATTAAAAAGAATAATTTTAGGCCTGAAGATTAGTTAAAACCCCCCAAACACTTGTAGGGCCGAGCTCGGGGGTTCTGGGCTCAGTAGGGCCGAGCTCGGGGGCTCTGGGCTCAGTAGGGCCGAGCTCGGGGGCTCTGGGCTCAGTAGGGCCGACCTCGGGGGCTCTGGGCTCAGTAGGGCCGACCTCGGGGGCTCTGGGCTCAGTAGGGCCGACCTCGGGGGCTCTGGGCTCAGTAGGGCCGACCTCGGGGGCTCTGGGCTCAGTAGGGCCGACCTCGGGGGCTCTGGGCTCAGTAGGGCCGACCCTCGGGGGCTCTGGGGCTCAGAAGGGCCGACCGACCTCGGGGGCTCTGGGCTCAGAAGGGCCGACCTCGGGGGCTCTGGGCTCAGTAGGGCCGACCTCGGGGCTCAGCGCTCAGTAGGGCCGACCTCGGGGCTCAGCGCTCAGTAGGGCCGACCTCGGGGCTCAGCGCTCAGTAGGGCCGACCTCGGGGCTCAGCGCTCAGTAGGGCCGACCTCGGGGCTCAGCGCTCAGTAGGGCCGACCTCGGGGCTCAGCGCTCAGTAGGGCCGACCTCGGGGGGCTCGAGGCTCAGTCAGTAGGGCCGAGGTCGGGGGTCGGGGCTCAGTAGGGCCGAGGTCGGGGCTCGGGCTCAGTAGGGCCGAGGTCGGGGCTCAGGGCTCAGTAGGGCCGAGGTCGGGGCTCAGTAGGGCCGAGGTCGGGGCTCAGTAGGGCCGAGGTCGGGGCTCAGTAGGGCCGAGGTCGGGGCTCAGTAGGGCCGAGAAGTCGGGGCTCAGTAGGGCCGAGGTCGGGGCTCAGTAGGGCCGAGGTCGGGGCTCTGGGCTCAGTAGGGCCGAGCCCTGGGCTCGGGGCTCAGTAGGGCCGAGGTCGGGGCTCAGTAGGGCCGAGGTCGGGGCTCAGTAGGGTTGAAGTCGGGGCTCAGTAGGGTTGAAGTCGGGGCTCTGGGCTCAGTAGGGCCGAGGTCGGGGCTCTGGGCTCAGTAGGGTTGAAGTCTGGGATCTGTGCAGGCCACTCAAGTTCTTCCACGCCAAACTCGATAAACCGTGTCTTTATGGACCTGGTTTTGTACAAGGGCCACAGTCGCATTGTAACAGAAAAGGGTCTTCCTCAAACTGGTGCCACAAGGTTTGAAGCGTACAATTGTCTACAATGTGCTTGTATGGTGTGGCCCCAACAGTACCCTTCACTAGAATCACCTGAACTCAATAAATTTGGAGGGAAGTCCACATACGTTTGCCCGTATAGTGCATCTCAGGTGGGACATGTCCCTGCCACAGAGATAAAACCGGAGAGTGCTTCAACTCTACACTCACAACGCAGCATCCAAGTCAGTTTTGTGTATAATTAACCCTTAAGTCAAAAATGTTACATTCCTTTCTGCAAAATTCCCATCGAAATGTTCTAAAAAGTACCAGTTCTGACTGAAGCCGTTGATAAAATACTTAAAGAGACATATATAAATTAAAAAACAAACAAAAACATAATAATAAACCATTCTACTATAGTTTGAAGAAAGGAACAAGGGTTTCCTATACTTCACCCCTTCTACTGGGGTGACAGAAGACTGACTAAGATGTCTACATTGACGTCCACTCTTTAGGAGATGGCAGACCCAGACCTGGCCCCTATCAGTGCAGGCTGTTGATGTGCAATGTATAGAAGGCCCAGGGCTCTGGAATATAAATCACCCCGGGGTATTTTTTTGCGCAAGATCTTATCATTCCAAAGCCATACGATCCAAACCGCAATGAGGACCAAAGTCGCTGAAAAGGAGAGCAGTAAGAAGAGGCCGTTACTGTCCAGGCGAAAGCCCTTCCGCTTCTGGTGGAGAATGAGGGCCAGCATTGCAAAGAAGGTGAAGATGAAGATGATGAAGATCTGGCCCTCGGTCACCAGGTACCTGCAAGACAAGCAAGCGAAAAGACTGCTGAGTAAAACAGAACAAAATACATACAATATACACTACATGGCCAAAATGTTGTGGACATCTCACCATCACACCTACTTATAGGGTTCAAAAGTAAGTCGGTATCCGTCAAAACGATGGAGATCAGGTGTTTCCAGTGAAGGGTACTGTTCATGCTACAGCATTTGGAGACATATGGCTGCATTCACCGGATTGTACCAGTCTGTATGCCCAGGCTAAGGGCTGCCTTCAGCCATTTCTGCCCTGCAGGCAGCCTGAATAAGTCAATGACAGCCCTATTGAGCACGGAGCCCCGACCTCAACCTTACCAACTACGGAACCCAGACCTCAACCCTACCGAACACGGAGTCCAGACCTCAACCCTACCGAACACGGAGTCCTCCAGACCTCAACCCCATACCCAAACACAGAGTCCAGACCTCAACCCTACCAAACACAGAGTCCAGACCTCACACCCTACCAAACACAGAGTCCAGACCTCAACCCTACCAAACACAGAGTCCAGACCTCAACCCTACCGAGCACAGAGCCCCGACCACAACCCTACCGAGCACAGAGCCCCGACCACAACCCTACCGAGCACAGAGCCCCGACCACAACCCTACCGAGCACAGAGCCCCGACCACAACCCTACCGAGCACAGAGCCCCGACCACAACCCTACCGAGCACAGAGCCCCGACCACAACCCTAACCGAGCACAGAGCCCCAACCACAACCCTACCGAGCACAGAGCCCCAACCACAACCCTACCGAGCACAGAGCCCCAACCACAACCCTACCGAGCACAGAGCCCCAACCACAACCCTACCGAGCACAGAGCCCCAACCACAACCCTACCGAGCACAGAGCCCCAACCACAACCCTACCGAGCACAGAGCCCCAACCACAACCCTACCGAATGTGGAGCCCCAACCTCAACACTACCGAATGTGGAGCCCCAACCTCAACACTACCGAATGTGGAGCCCCAACCTCAAACACTACCGAAATGTGGAGCCCCAACCTCAACACTACCGAATGTGGAGCCCCAACCTCAACCCTACTAAACACAGAGCCCAGACCTCAACCCTACTGAACACAGAGCCCAGACCTCAACCCTACTGAACCCCGACAGAGCACAGACCCAAACCCTACCGAAACACGGAGTCCAGACCTCAACCCTACCAAACACAGAGTCCAGACCTCAACCCTACCAAACACAGAGTCCCAGAGTCCAGACCTCAAACCCTACCAAACACAGAGTCCCCAGACCTCAACCCTACCAAACACAGAGTCCCAGACCTCAACCCTACCGAGCACAGAGCCCCGACCACAACCCTACCGAGCACAGAGCCCCGACCACAACCCTACCGAGCACAGAGCCCCCGACCAAAACCCTACCGAGCACAGAGCCCCGACCACACACCAACCCTACCGAGCACAGAGCCCCGACCACAACCCTACCGAGCACAGAGCCCCGACCACAACCCTACCGAGCACAGAGCCCCAACCACAACCCTACCGAGCACAGAGCCCCAACCACAACCCTACCGAGCACAGAGCCCCAACCACAACCCCTACCGAGCACAGAGCCCCAACCACAACCCTACCGAGCACAGAGCCCCAACCACAACCCTACCGAGCACAGAGCCCCAACCTCAACCCTACCGAATGTGGAGCCCCAACCTCAACACTACCGAATGTGGAGCCCCAACCTCAACACTACCGAATGTGGAGCCCCAACCTCAACACTACCGAATGTGGAGCCCCAACCTCAACACTACCGAATGTGGAGCCCCAACCTCAACACTACCGAATGTGGAGCCCCAACCCTCAACACTACCGAATGTGGAGCCCCAACCTCAACCCTACTAAACACAGAGCCCAGACCTCAACCCTACTGAACACAGAGCCCAGACCTCAACCCTACTGAACACAGAGCCCAGACCTCAACCCTACTGAACACAGAGCCCAGACCTCAACCCTACCGAGCACAGAGCCCAGACCTCAACCCTACCGAGCACAGAGCCCAGACCTCAACCCTACCGAGCACAGAGCCCAGACCTCAACCCTACCGAGCACAGAGCCCCGACCTCAACCCTACCGAGCACAGAGCCCCGACCTCAACCCTACCGAGCACAGAGCCCCGACCACAACCCTACCGAGCACAGAGCCCCAACCACAACCCTACCGAGCACAGAGCCCCAACCACAACCCTACCGAGCACAGAGCCCCGAACCTCAACCCTACCGAGCACAGAGCCCCGACCACAACCCTACCGAGCACAGAGCCCCAACCACAACCCTACCGAGCACAGAGCCCCAACCACAACCCTACCGAGCACAGAGCCCCAACCACAACCCTACCGAGCACAAAGCCCCAACCACAACACTACCGAATGTGGAGCCCCAACCTCAACACTACCGAATGTGGAGCCCCAACCTCACTAAACACTACCGAATGTGGAGCCCCCTCAACCTCAACACTACCGAATGTGGAGCCCCAACCTCAACCCTACTAAACACAGAGCCCAGACCTCAACCCTACTGAACACAGAGCCCAGACCTCAACCCTACTGAACACAGAGCCCCAGACCTCAACCCTACTGAACACAGAGCCCAGACCTCAACCCTACTGAACACAGAGCGAGCAGACCTCAACCCTACTGAGAGCACAGAGCCCAGACCCTCAACCCTACTGAGCACAGAGCCCAGACCTCAACCCTACTGAGCACAGAGCCCAGACCTCCCCAACCTCACCCTACTGAGCACCCTAGAGCACAGAGCCCAGACCTCAACCCTACTGAACACAGAGCCCAGACCTCAACCCTACTGAACACAGAGCCCAGACCTCAACCCTACTAAACACAGAGCCCAGACCTCAACCCCACTAAACACAGAGCCCAGACCTCAACCCTACTAACACAGAGCCCAGACTTCAACCCTACTAAACACAGAGCCCAGACTTCAACCCTACCGAGCACGGAACCCCAACCACAACCCTACCAAACGTGGAGCCCAGACCTCAACCCTACAGAGAACGGAACCCAGACCTCAACCCTACAGAGAACGGAGCCCAGACCTCAACCCTTCCGAATACAAAGCTCCGACCTCAACCCTACTGAGCACAGAGCCCACTTTTGGGATGAATTGGATCTCTGATTGCAAGTCAGGTCTCCCTTAGGTATCTTATAGGGGAGCAAATCTTTTCACTTTTCTTGATTCACAACCACGGTCATCAATCAAAACTAAACTAAACAGCTGTTTAAAAAAAAAAAAAAAAAAAAAACTTGCTGACAGGCAGGGTTTTTATGACAGAAGAGACCCTATCAATTTCTTCGGTCATAAATGCTTCTCCCTTCAACTGTAATGTACACTGAGCCTCGCATGCTCAGCTCAGCGTGTATTTATGGCACCGTGATGTGCCATGATGACGTGACTCCGTTGCGCATCTGCGGAAGTGACGTCAGCGAAGCTCGGGCCATTCTAGTGGACAAGAGAGCAAACCAGGAAGGAAGACCGGGAGAAGATGGAAGCGCCTGTAACCAGCAGCAGCGGTGGCAGCTCAGTGCTGGAGAGCTTCGTTTGACAGGTAAATCTGTCATAATGTTCTAATATGCAGTGTACACTACGGCATTAACCCCACGGGGTCCATTTAATAAAAATAAAATATTCCACTTTAACCTCCCTGGCGGTATGATTATGTCAGGAATTTTGTGCTGAAAGCGGTACCATTTTTTTGCATGGAAATATGTAGTTTTTTATTGTAGGCTGTAATTTTTAGGAATAACTCACTGAAATCTGTCCGAAAAAGAGTCTATTAAACATTCCGGATATGATAAAACTTGAAACACGAAATCATAAATTATAATTTAATAAATAATCATAAAAAATAATAATATAATAATAATACATTTAATTCAATAATATAATCAAACCAAAAACACTGAAATTTGAAATACAGAGGCAAATTCGCACATCGCTGAGCAAAGTCGCAAAATCGTTTTCAGTGTCTGATGAGGAATTTCCCCCACCAATCATTATCACTCAATTCTGCAAGTGGTTCTGATTTACTATCGCTGTTCTAAAACCGCTTTTGACCTAAAGGGACGCTTTTTGGCCGCCATGGACGTTTCTCAGTTTCCAGGCAGAAAGAACAGTCAAAATGCAGGCAGGGCGCCGGACAAAGCACTCGGGACAACATGTATGTGAAATGCAGTGAAAAAGCAATGACAGCAAAAATTTCATTTTTTAAAAATTTCAAATTTCCCGCCGGTTCCGCCGCCCGAACGTTCCGACGTCACAGGGACCGGAACACGGAAGCCAGATGCCGGCATCCGCCGGAGGAGATGGACGGGGACACTGCAGGGGACCCATCCTGGGAGCAAAGGACAAGGTAAGTGCTGCAGGGACCCCCAGAGAACGCTGCATGGTAAGCCCGAGTGTAGCTCGGGGTTACCGTTCTTGGTATAGAAATTCTACCCCGAGCTACACTCGGGAAAACCGCCAAGGAGGTTAAGTTCCAGTTTAATTCCACTTTAACATCTTTGTAGTACTGTTCAGCCAGTATTGTGATTCAAAACATCCCTAATGGATTATTGCAGGCTCCTGTATCACCAGGGCTAAGGGCTCATGTACACTGCAGCTGATAAACTCACGTTTAGGAGCTTTTCTGCATTTTTTTCAACAGCCCCTGAACCCTCCCTAATGTTTTCCTCTGTATCCGTGTACACATCGTCGTTTACAGGCAGTTGAGTTTACAGTAATTTTTTTTGAACGCACCAAAAACGAACAAGGGTTTGTAAAAAAATAAAAAAAAAAAATAATCAAGGTAAAATATTTTGTATTTTTTTAAAATTGGTGTCAGTGTGTTTTAGGTAAAAAAAAATAAAATGCGCACTATTGTTTCTGGGCTGTAGTCCGGGTACAAACAGCAAATAACATCCACATATATGGTATCGCTGCGATCGTCAAGAGATGGAAAATTTATTTTGGGTTGTCCTTTGGTGGTAGGTTATGGTAGTAACAAGAAACACACAGCTAATTAAAAAAATTATATATTTTAGTTTTTACTATTTTGGACCAGTTTTCCTTTGATAATAACCCCAAAAAAAAAAAAAAAAATCAGGAGATAACCATTACCATTTACCAGCAAATGAAAGCCCAACTTGTCCTGAAAAAAAAAAATGCGGTATAATCCACCCGGATGTACGAAGTAATTGTGATGATACGGACGGTTTTACTAACACAGGTCAACATTGCAAAATTGTGCTTAGGCATTAAGATTTGTTTTACCCTCAGGAGTGAAGGGGTTAACATGTTGGATTGGCCGAGAGCACTGTAGTTGTTCGATAATGAAATGCATCCTCATAAATACAACGTGCCTAATAATTGTGCACCCAATGTACATGCAAAGAGTACACCACACCTACCAGTAATAGAGACTGCTGGGGCCCAGCAAAGACCACGCGGACAGCGGCATTCTGCTTTCATCCTTCACTGTTGTGAAACATCCAGAGAAATAGATGAACAGGATGAGGAAAAATGGAATGTACCTAAAATGAAGGAAACAGTTCAGTTTATTTAGTTAGTTTAGTCACAAAAAACGTAACAGTTATCAAGTGCAGAAACTTTTTGTTCCCCTTTTTAAATACACAAGAATAGCTTTTTACATTTTTGACTGACATAGAAAGATCTGACCTTCAAACAAAGATCCCCACATAAACACAGCCCTGAGATTGGTTCTGTCCATGTGATCTGGCCAGGAAGACTTCAGATCTCATATCCTTTTTAATCACTTCCAGTCCGGACGCTTTCCCCCCCCCCCCCTTCCAGTCCGGACGCTTTCCCCCCCCCCTTCCAGTCCGGACGCTTCCTCCCCCCCCCTTCCAGTCCGGACGCTTCCCCCCCCCCCCTTCCAGTCCGGACGCTTTCCCCCCCCCCTTCCAGTCCGGACGTTTCCCCCCCCCCCTTCCAGTCCGGACGCTTTCCCCCCCCCCCCCTTCCAGTCCGGACGCTTTCCCCCCCCCCCCCCCTTCCAGTCCGGAACGCTTTTCCCCCCCGGGACGCTTTTCCCCCCCCCCTTCCAGTCCGGACGCTTTTCCCCCCCCCTTCCAGTCCGGACGCTTTTTCCCCCCCCCCCTTCCAGTCCGGACGCTTTCCCCCCCCCCCCCCTTCCAGTCCGGACGCTTTCCCCCCCCCCCCCCTTCCAGTCCGGACGCTTTCCCCCCCCCCTTCCAGTCCGGACGCTTTCCCCCCCCCCCCTTCCAGTCCGGACGCTTCCCCCCCCCCCTTCCAGTCCGGACGCTTCCCCCCCCCCCTTCCAGTCCGGACACTTTCCCCCCCCCCTTCCAGTCCGGGAAACGCTTCCCCCCCCCCCCCCCGCTTCCAGTCCGGACACTTTCCCCCCCCCCCTTCCAGTCCGGACGCTTTCCCCCCCCCCCCCCCCGCTTCCAGTCCGGACGCTTTCCCCCCCCCCCTTCCAGTCCGGACACTTTCCCCCCCCCCCCCCCTTCCAGTCCGGACACTTTCCCCCCCCCCCTTCCAGTCCGGACGCTTTCCCCCCCCCCCCCCCCCTTCCAGTCCGGACACTTTCCCCCCCCCCCTTCCAGTCCGGACACTTTCCCCCCCCCCCCCTTCCAGTCCGGACACTTTCCCCCCCCCCCCCCTTCCAGTCCGGACACTTTCCCCCCCCCCCCCCCCGAGTCCCCTTCCAGTCCGGACACTTTTCCCCCCCCCCCGCTTCCAGTCCGGACACTTCCCCCCCCCCCCTTCCAGTCCGGACACTTCCCCCCCCCCCCCTTCCAGTCCGGACACTTTTTCCCCCCCCCCTTCCAGTCCGGACACTTTTCCCCCCCCCCCCCCCTTCCAGTCCGGACACTTTCCCCCCCCCCCTTCCAGTCCCCTTCCCCCCCCCCCCCTTCCGTCAGGACACTTTCCCCCCCCCCCCCCTTCCAGTCCGGACACTTTTTCCCCCCCCCCAGTCCGGACACTTTCCCCCCCCCCCTTCCAGTCCGGACACTTTTTTCCAGTCCGGACACTTTCCCCCCCCCCTTCCAGTCCGGACACTTTCCCCCCCCCCCTTCCAGTCCGGACACTTTCCCCCCCCTTCCAGTCCGGACACTTTCCCCCCCCCCCCTTCCAGTCCGGACACTTTCCCCCCCCCCCAGTCCGGACACTTTCCCCCCCCCTTCCAGTCCGGACACTTTCCCCCCCCCCTTCCAGTCCAGTCCCGGACACTTTCCCCCCCCCTTCCAGTCCGGACACTTTCCCCCCCCCTTCCAGTCCGGACACTTTCCCCCCCCCCCTTCCAGTCCGGACACTTTCCCCCCCCCCTTCCAGTCCGGACACTTTCCCCCCCCCTTCCAGTCCGGACACTTTTTCCCCCCCCTTCCAGTCCGGACACTTTCCCCCCCTTCCAGTCCGGACACTTCCCCCCCTTCCAGTCCGGACACTTTCCCCCCCTTCCAGTCCGGACACTTTCCCCCCTTCCAGTCCCACTTCACCCCCCCTTCCCAGTCCGGACACTTTGAATGACAATTGCGCGGTCATGCAGCACTGTACCCATATGAATATTTTAGCATTTTTTTGAGACCGATAAAACTTTATTTTGGTGGTATTTATTCACCGCTGAGATTTTTATTTTTTTTGCTATATAAATGAAAAAGACCAAAAATTTTGAAAAAAAGTGTTTTTCTTATAAAATTTTGCAAATAAATAATCTTTCATCATACCTATCTTTAGTAAAAATAACTCTTTTTAGTACAAAAAAAAAAATTACCCAAATTAGTTTGTAACCAAAAATTATAATTTTTTTTTAATTTTTATTTTATATAATTATTTATGTGTTTTTTTTTTTTAACATACTGTCACCCTAGCAGTACAGTGTCACCATAGTACTACTTGTGGGGGGTGATGAAGATTTTTTTTTTTTTTGTACAGGGATTGCTTTTACACCCATAAAGGCTGTAAAAGCAATCATTTCTCCTTCTCTCTGGGTGCATTCCTGCAGCCATTGAGAAATACTGTGAGAGCTGTGATTGGTCACAGCTTGTCACATGGTACAAGGCTGTTGTGAATGGCCCTGTACCATGTGACCTCTGATCATTCACAGATTTCACACGTAGTAAGCAATGATGTCAGAAGTGACATTTTGTTTACTACCATTCATGTGATCACTGATTGGGCAATCAGTGATCACATGATCAGATCCTCACACAGAGGCAATGCGGAAGGACATTTATAAACGGCAACCCGCTCCTGCACTGCTCCTGTCTGGCCGTTTATGTACATGGGCCAGACGGGAAGTGGTTAAGATGTACTTAAGCGTTCGCCCATGCAACGGCCATGTTTGCGCTCAAGGGGAGGCACGGGTGTTCTTGCATCACAGTGTAGGCAGTCGCTCTTCATGTTAATTGGGACTCAGAAGCTGAACAGACACATCTGCTGCTTCCAATCTGACATTTGTATGAGGTCCCGATCATGTGATCACTGATTAGCCAATCAGTGATCACATGCAGAGTAGTAAGCAAGATGTCACTTCTGACATCATTGCTTACTACGTGTGAAATCTGTGAATGATCACAGAGGTCACATGGTACAGGGACATTCACAACAGCCTTGTACCATGTGACAAGCTGTGACCAATCACAGCTCTCACAGTATTTCTCAATGGCTGCAAGAATGCAGCCAGAGAGAAGGAGAAATGATTGCTTTTACAGCCTTTACGGGTGCAAAAGCAAATCAGTGTAAAAAAAAAAAAAAAAAAAAAAATATCATCACCCCCCACAAGTAGTACAGTGTCACTATGGTGACACTGTACTGCTAGGGTGACTGTGTTAAAAAAAAAAAAAAAAAAACAAATAAGAATATAAAAAAAAAAAATTAAAAAAAAATGTAATTTTTTTTTTAAGAAATTATAATTTTTGGTTATAAACTAATTTGGGTTAGTTTTTTTTTTACTAAAAAGATAACCGAAATACATTTTGGCCAAGATTTATGAAGAAAGATTATTCATTTGCAAATTTTTTCTAAGAAAAACTTACAAAATTTTTGGACTTTTTTCATTTACATAGCAAAAAAAAAAAAAAAAAAAAAATCCCAATGGTGAATAAATACCGCCAAAATGAAGTTTTAGGTCTCAAAAAAATGCATGTGTACAGTGTTGCATGATCGTGCAATTGTCATTCAACGTGCGATAGCACTGAAAGCTGATAATTGGCCTGGACTGGAAGGGGGGGGGGGGGGGGGGGAAGCGTCCGGACTGGAAGGGGGGGGGGGGAAAGCGTCCGGACTGGAAGGGGGGGGGGGGGGAAAGCGTCCGGACTGGAAAGGGGGGGGGGGGGTAAAGCGTCCGGACTGGAAAGGGGGGGGGGGGGGAAAGCGTCCAGACTGGAAGGGGGGGGGGGGGGGGAAGCGTCCAGACTGGAAGGGGGGGGGGGGGGGGGGGGAAGCGTCCAGACTGGAAGGGGGGGGGGGGAAGGGGGGGGGAAAAGCGTCCAGACTGGGGGGGAAGGGGGGGGGGGGGGGGGGGGAAAGCGTCCGGGACTGGGGGGGGGAAGGTCCGGAGGGGGGGGGGGGAAAGCGTCCGGACTGGGAGGGGGGGGGGAAAGCGTCCGGACTGGGAGGGGGGGGGGGGGGAAAAGCGTCCGGACTGGAAGGGGGGGGGGGAAGCGTCCGGACTGGATGGGGGGGGGGGGGGAAAGCGTCCGGACTGGAAGGGGGGGGGGGGAAGCGTCCGGACTGGAAGGGGGGGGGGGGGGAAGCGTCCGTCCGGGACTGGAAGGGGGGGGGGGGAAAGCGTCCGGACTGGAAGGGGGGGGGGTGAAAGCGTCCGGACTGGAAGGGGGGGGGGGGGAAAGCGTCCGGACTGGAAGGGGGGGGGGGGAAAAGCGTCCGGACTGGAAGGGGGGGGGGGGGAAAAGCGTCCGGACTGGAAGGGGGGGGGGGGGAAGGGAAAGCGTCCGGACTGGAAGGGGGGGGGGAAAGCGTCCGGACTGGAAAGAGGGGGGGGAAGCGTCCGGACTGGAAGCGGGGAGGGGAAGGGTGCCGGAACTGGAGCGTCCGGACTGGAAGGGGGGGGGGGGGGGGAAAGCGTCCGGACTAGAAGGGGGGGGGGGAAAGCGTCCGGACTGGAAGGGGGGGGGGGGGAAAGCGTCCGGACTGGAAGGGGGGGGGGTGGAAGCGTCCGGACTGGAAGGGGGGGGGGGGGGGGAAGCGTCCGGACTGGAAGGGGGGGGGGGGTGGAAGCGTCCGGACTGGAAGGGGGGGGGGGAAGCGTCCGGACTGGAAGGGGGGGGGGGGGAAAGCGTCCGGACTGGACTGGAAGGGGGGGGGGACTGGAAGGGGGGGGGGGGAAAGCGTCCGGACTGGAAGAGGGGGGGGGGGAAAGCGTCCGGACTGGAAGAGGGGGGGGGAAAGCGTCCGGACTGGAAGAGGGGGGGGAAAGCGTCCGGACTGGAAGAGGGGGGGGGGAAAGCGTCCGGACTGGAAGAGGGGGGGGAAAGCGTCCGGACTGGAAGAGGGGGGGGAAAGCGTCCGGACTGGAAGAGGGGGGGGGGGGGGAAAGCGTCCGGACTGGAAGAGGGGGGGGAAAGCGTCCGGACTGGAAGGGGGGGGGGGAAAGCGTCCGGACTGGAAGGGGGGGGGGGGGGGAAGCGTCCGGACTGGAAGGGGGGGGGGGGGGGAAGCGTCCGGACTGGAAGGGGGGGGGGGGGGGAAGCGTCCGGACTGGAAGGGGGGGTAAGGGGGAGGGAAGCGTCCGGACTGGAAGGGGGGGGGGGGGGAAGCGTCCGGACTGGAAGGGGGGGGGGGGAAGCGTCCGGACTGGAAGGGGGGGGGGGGGAGGGGGAAGCGTCCGGACTGGAAGTGGTAAAAAAACAGTCATTCCGGCTCATTGATCTGCTTACCACATGGAATGGCCCAGGTATTCGTCGTAGTAATACAGCAGCTCGAAGGAATCAACCTGTCATATAAAAAAAAAAAAAAAAAGGAAAATTAAATGTAAACGTCAAGATACAGAGAAGAATGAGGCACGAACGTCCAGCTATGCAAGACCTGCGCTACTCATGATATTTTTTATTACTATTATTTTTCAGGAAAGGCTGTCCCTATATTTGCCACACGCACATTTCAGTTCCTGGATGCACTGTGATTCGTCAGAGAAGAGGGCGGGGCTTTGGGGCACAGAGGTATTAAAGGTGTACTGTACAAGTATGGGAGTTCCAATGCATCGGCCTGTCGTGTGAGATACTTCACCTGTGCTGGGAGCGCTACTGACAGTCCAGTCTGTAAGGGTTTGTCTACGCAAGCATTTCCCTCTGAACAGCAATCAATCACTTTTTAGAGGGCATTTAACAGCCGGGGAGCGGGCGATAGGTTACCTTCTCAACACCTGTTTAACCCTCAAAAGCCAAAACCCACCACCGCAGCACGAGGTCACAGTGTGGCCCCCAATCAGTTAGGGCTTCATGTACACTGCGGTTGATAAACTCACGTTTAGGATCTTTTCTGAGTTTTTTTCAGCAGCCCCTGAACTCCCCCTAATGTTCTCCTATGTGTCCGTGTACACATCGTTGTTTACAGTCGTTTACAGGCAGCTGAGTTTACAGCTGTTTTTTTGAACACAACAAACTTGTGTTCAGCAGTTGATTTTATCAGCGTTTCAAACGCCAAAGGCGGCAAATCGAGTTTATAAGCATTTGAAATTTTTTTTAACTCTTCCAGTTCCCGATGCTGTCCAGAGCCTTTTTCCATCATGAAAAGTGCATGCAAAGCATTTTCAAGGTGCTCAAATAGACAAAACACTGAACACAGGATGTTCCTACCAAGCTTGTCACACATTGTAATGACAATTCACACCTCAGACCTCTCCCACCCTTGGAAACAAAAGATATGTTAATGACCATTCACCTCAGACCTCTCCCACCCTTGGAAACAAAAGATATGTTAATGACCACACCTCTCCCCACCCTTGGAAACAAAAGATATGTTAATGACCATTCACACCTCAGACCTCTCCCACCCTTGGAAACAAAAGATATGTTAATGACCATTCACACCTCAGACCTCTCCCACCCTTGGAAACAAAAGATATGTTAATGACCATTCACACCTCAGACCTCTCCCACCCTTGGAAACAAAAGATATGTTAATGACCATTCACACCTCAGACCTCTCCCACCCTTGGAAACAAAAGATATGTTAATGACCATTCACACCTCAGACCTCTCCCACCCTTGGAAACAAAAGATATGTTAATGAACATTTACACCTCAAATCCTCATGAACACCCTCCTGCCAGGTGGCCTTAATGACTCCCTCCACCAGACACCTTTCTCACCCTTGGAAACAAACCTCAGCTAATCTCAACACATACTGCTGTCTCTGCTTCTACTCTCTGAAATAGTTAATAATTTACCACCTTTTAGTGCATTCTGGGCATTTGGGAGGTTCTCCTGTGCTTATCTTTAAAAAACGTTCTAAACACAAACGCGCATAAACAGACGTTTTTTTACCCTCCGTTTTCCAGCAGTCAGTTTCCATCGTTCAGAATTGTCCCGTGTACATGGGGCCTTAAATGTTGTTACATAGTTAGTCTGGCTGAAAAAAAAGACAAAAGTCCATCCAGTTCAACCATTAAAAAAAAAAAAGTTATAATCCTACACCCACAGTTGATCCAGAGGAAGGCAAAAAAAAAACAAAACAAAAAAAACAAAAAAACGAGCAAAGCACGATCCAATTTGCTTCTGCAGGGAAAAAAAATTCCTTCCTGATCCCCCGAGAGGCAATCGGATATTCCCTGGATTAACTTTATATAAATGTTAGTAAATGTGACCGGGGGGGGGGGGGGGGGGGAGATACTTTTTTGCAGGGATTTTTTTTACAGCTGGAACATGTGGGAATGCAGTTTCTGGCACCTCCAGCACTGAATGTATGTATTGGCAAGGGGACGTGGGGTCTGCTGGGGGGTCTCATTTGCTGGCTGCTGGGTCACTTGGGGGATCTATTGTTGCTGGGGGGATCTATTCTTGCTGGTGGAACCATTATGGCTGGGGTCAGGGTCTCATGTTGCTGCGGGGGGGTCAATTGTTGCTAGCAGGGAACTACTGTTGCGGGAAGGGTCTATTGTTGCTTGGGGGATCTATTCTTGCTGGTGGAACTATAGTGGCTGGGCAGGGTCTCATGTTGCTGCAAAGGTCAATTGTTGCTTGCAGGGAACTACTGTTGAAGGAAGGGTCTATGGTTGCTGAGGGGATCTATCAGGGGCAGGACTGACAAGTCATGGGGTCCCCGGGCAATAGGGGATCATGGGGGCCCCTGTGTCCTTGCCCAAACTCAAAAAAAGCCTATGAAAAAGGTCCCAGGGGCATCTCATGGGGCCCCTACTGACCCCGGGCCTTCAGGCAGTGCCAGAGTTTCCAAATGGTCAGTCCCCTCCTGGGATTTATTGTTCCTGGGGGGATATATTGTTGCTTGGGGAACTATTATGGCTGGACAGGGTCTCCTGTTGCTGTGGGGGTCAATTGTTGCATACAGGGAACTACTGTTGAGGGAAGGGTCTATTGTTGCTGAGGAGATCTATTGTTGCTGGGGGATCTATTGTGGCTGGGCCTCATGTTGCTGTGGGGGGTCAATTGTTGCTCACATGGAACTACTGTTTAGGGAAGGGTCTATTGCTGCTGATGGGATCTATTGAGGGGTAATAAAATGAGGCTAAACCACTTTTTTCTTTTTTTTTTTTTTTTTTTTTTTTTTTAACATCCTAAACTGCAAGTGTAACGCAACGCAACGCAAGCAAATGCTTCAGAGTGAACAGCGCTGTGTGCTGCCATGTGTAGAATTTCCCGTTCATAGGCGTTTGGGAAGCGTTTTTTAATGCTTTTCAAACGCCTGTCTGACGCCTGCTGACAAAGCTCATGTGAACTGAGCCTTAACCTTCCAAGCGGTCTGATTATGTCAGTATTTTCTGTGCTCAAAGCGGTACTTTTTTTGCATGGAAATATGTTTTTTTTTTTTTTTATGGTCGGCCTGTAATTTGTAGGAATAACTCACTGAAATCTGTCCGAACAAGAGTCTAGTAAACATCCCGGGGAGGATAAAATTTGAAACACGAAATCATAAATTATAATTTAATAATCATAAAAAATAATAATAATAATAATAAATGTAATTCAATAATATAATCAAACCAAAAACACTGAAATGTGAAAATAGAGCGCCAAGTTCGCACATCGCTGAGCTCAGTCGCAGAATCGTTTTCAGTGTCTGATGAGGAATTTCCCCCACAAATCATTATCACTCAATTCTGCAAGTGGTTCTGATTTACTATCGCTGTTCTCTTAGCCGGTCTAAAAAACCGCGTCTGACCTAAAGGGACGCTTTTTGGACGCCATGGACGTTTCTCAGTTTCCAGGCAGAAAGAACAGTAAAAATGCAGGCAGGGCGCCGGACAAAGCACTCGGGACAAAAATGTATGTGAAATGGTTTGATACAGGAATGTTATACTATGTGATTTTAGTGTGTTTAGTGAATGTCACTTTTTGTCATTTTCAAACTTCCCGCCAGTTCCGTCCCCCGTACGTCCCGACGTCGCAGGGAACGGAACCCCGGAAGAAGACAGATGCCGGCATCAGCCGGGAGGACATTACAGGGGACACTGCAGGGGGGACATCGCGCGGAGCGCAGGACAAGGTAAGTGCAGAAGAGATCCCGGAGCAACACTGCAGTGTATTCCCGAGTGTAGCTCGGGGGGGTCACCGCTTGTGGTGCTGAAACTTTACCCCGAGCTACACTCAGGAATACCGCCAGGGGGGCTAATCAAAGCTTCCTTGGTAAAGCACGGGCTGCGACACATAGTACATTATGAACAATGAAGCAGCACATCCTTTACCCTGCTTCCTAGGATGACAAGTGCGAACTACAGAACCCCTCCACGGCCCGGTCCCCAGTGGCAGAGAGAAACCGCAGGCAGGTCAGTTCTAAACTGGTATTTCCACTTCTGCAAGTACCATCTCATGTGGACACTTGTGTAATATTTATTCAGCCTGTTTAAGTGCCCAGAACATTGCATCAGTGCAATGATTCTTTACAAGGTCTGTACATCCTACACAGATTCTTCACTAAGCGGTAGTTGCTTGCGAGTTGCTGTCTGCTTTTTTTTTTTTTTTTTTAATTCTTTTTTTTTTGTTAAATAACAAACATGTTATACATATCTGCTCTGTGCAATGGTATTGCACAGAGTGGCCTCCTGAACCTCTCCTCCTTTCTACAGGCTCACTCCTGAACAGGGCTGTGTGCATCTATTGATACACACAACGCGGCTTGGCTCCACTCAATCACTGAAATCGACTGACAGCAGTGGGAGCCAATACGGAAAAAGTGTGTGTGTGTGTGGTGGGGGGGGGGGGGGGGGGAGAGGGAGATACAATACAAGGAGTACCAAGATCCCTAGAAGTATATAGACAAAGAAGGGGGGGGGGAAAGCACCATCAATGTGGTATTTCTCTAATTGCTGGGCAATTCGAATGTTGCTTTTTTTTTGGCTTTTAATTCCTCTGTCGATCGCTGTTAACCCGACGGGAGGGACCCCCAGCCACCTTTCTCAGGAATCTAAATTGTGTGATACGCTGCAAGCTTATGGTTTGGTTGATGTCTGGTGGGGAAATGCATCCTACGTCGCGGGAATTTTACACTTTTTATTCGGCCCCACACCGGAGCTTTTGTAGAATAGATCACGTTTTCATTTCCTTACAACATTTATCTTTAACCACTTCCAGTCGCGGACACTTTCCCCCCCTTTACCAGTCCGGACGCTTTCCCCCCCTTCCAGTCGATTCCGGACGCTTTCCCCCACATCCGCAATTCCAGTCTGGACGCTTTCCCCCCCGGACGCTTTCCCCCCCTTCCAAAGACCGGACGCTTTCCCCCCTGTCTTTCCAGTCCGGACGCTTTTTGCTATTCCCCCCCCCTTCCAGTCCGGAGCTTTTCCCCCCTTCCAGTCCGGCACGCGCTTTCCCCCCCTTCCAGTCGGGACGCTTTCCCCCCCTTCCCCAGTCCGGACGGAGTCCTTTCCCCCCTTCCAGTCCGGGACACTTTCCCCCCCTTTTCCAGTCCGGAGGTCGCTTTCCCCCCCTTCCAGTCCGGACGCTTTCCCCCCCTCTTTCCAGTCGGCGCTTTCCCCCCCTTCCCCCAGTCCGGGACGCTTTCCCCCCCCTTTCCAGTCCCGGACGCTTTCCCCCCCTTACAGTTCCCCTTTCACCCCTCCTTCCAGTCCCGGACGCTTTCCCCCCCTTCCAGTCCGGGACGCTTTCACCCCCTTTCCAGTCCGGGCGCTTTCCTTTCCCCCCCCACTTCCAGTCTGGGCGCTTTCCCCCCCCCCCCTTCCAGTCTGGGCGCTTTCCCCCCCCCCACTTCCAGTCTGGGCGCTTTCCCCCCCCCCCCCCCTTCCAGTCTGGGCGCTTTCCCCCCCCCCCCTTTCCAGTCTGGGCGCTTCCCCCCCCCCCTTTATGCGATCCAGGTTGTGACGCTTTCCCCCCCCCCTTCCAGTCTGGATCGCTTTCCCCCCCCCACTGTCCAGTCTGTCTGGACGCTTCCCCCCCCCGCTTCCAGTCCGGAACGCTTTCCCCCCCTTCCAGTCCGGGACGCTTTTCCCCCCCTTCCAGTCCGGACGCTTTCCCCCCCCCTTGCCAGTCCGGACGCTTCCCCCCCCTTCCAGTCCGGACGCTTTCCCCCCCTTCTCAGTCCGGACGCTTTCCCCCCCTTACCAGTCCGGACACTTTCCCCCCCTTCCAGTCCGGACACTTTCCCCCCCTTCCAGTCCGGACACTTTTACCCCCCTTCCAGTCCGGACACTTTCCCCCCCTTCCAGTTCCGGACACTTTTACCCCCTTCCTGACCAGGGCAATTTTCAGCTTTCAGCGCTGCTATCACACTTTAAATGAGAATTGCGCGGTCATGCAACACTGTACCCAAATGAATTTTTTACCATTTTTTTTGAGACAGATAAAAACTTTATTTTGGTTGGTATATTTATTCACCACTGGGATTTTATTATTTTTTTTGCTATGTAAATAAAAAAAAGTCCAAAATTTTGAAAAAAAAAAGTGTTTTTTTTTTATAAAATTTTGCAAATAAACAATATTTCATCATAAATCTTTGCCAAAATGTATTAAAAAAAAATCCAAATTAGTTTTATAACCAAAAATTAAAATATTTTTAAACATTTTTTTTTTTTTACATTTTTATTTTATTTTTTTATATTCTTATTTTTTATTTTTAACATACTGTCACCCTAGCAGTACAGTGTCACCATGGTGACACTGTTACTACTTGTGGGGGGTGATGAATTTTTTTTTTTTTTTTTTTACACGGATTGCTTTTACACCCATAAAGGCTGTAAAAGCAATCATTTCTCTTTCTCTCTCTGTCTGCATTCTTGCACTCATTGAAAAGTACTGAGTGAGCTGTGATTGGTCACAGCTTGTCACATGGTACAAGGCTGTTGTGAATAGCCTTGTACCATGTGACCTCTGTGATCATTCACAGATTTCACACGTAGTAAGCAATGATGTCAGAAGTGACATCTTGCTTACTACTTTGCATTGATCACTGATTGGCCAATCAGTGATCACATGATCGGGACCTCGTACAGAGGTCCCGTCCGACGATCGGTGTTTCACTGTGTCCGGAGGACACAGCGGGCACCGGATCGCGGTGCTGCGTGCTTCCAGGGAGCGCGCACAAGCAGGGGGTGGGGAGGCCATTTATAAACAGCCACCTGACCCTGCACTGCCACCGTCCGGCCGTTTATATGCAACGGCCGGTCGGTCGAATTGGTTGATTCAAAAGATTGTCATCTCAACCGCTCCCTGGTCTGATCATGACCCATTGGTCTTTTCACGGTGTCTTTCTGGTATGGCTCGGCCCTCTTATCTGTGGAGACTCAATAAATCCTGCTCACCACTCAGGCTTCCTGCTCCCAGGTTCTTTTGCACATTCAGTCCTATTTTACGGACGATGTGGGTTCTGTACCCTCGGCCGTCTCTCTGTGGGAGGCTCACAAAGCCACCATTAGGGGTCACTTGATTCAGATTGCCTTGTCCAGGAAACGGGCCAGAGAGAAGAGGATGTTGGAATGGACCTCGCGATTGGCCATTAGACGCTACTTGGAAAGGCTGCCCGACTATGGCCAATAGGAAAGCTCGAGATAATGGTTGCTGCTGAACTTGATCTTCTTTCTACTACACGAGCTGAGAAGGCCTTACGTTGGGCCGGACATAGGTTTTAGACAAGCGCCAATAAACCGGGGGCCAATGTTGGCCAAGAAACTTAATTCGCTAGGTCACACGCATAAACCTGTTCACCTCTGAATGAGGGGCGGTGCCCTTACCTCGGACCCTGTGAAGATTACACATAGATTTGCGCATTTTTTGTCCTCTCTTTACCAAAAACCGAACACCTTTGTCACGGAACATACTTATAGTTTTTTCGCTGCGCTGCACCTACCCTCCTTATCCGTTGCAGCCCGAGATGCCCTGAATGTGGATATCTCTGAATCTGAACTCTACCGAGCCATCAAATCCTTTGAAGGCCCCCAAGGCTCCGGCACAGATGGGTTTTCTGGGCTCTACTATAAAAAAATTTGCCACCGTTTTGGTTCCTCACTTGACGACCTTTTTCAATTCTTTGAAGCAGGGTTCCTGGCTTTCTTGGGAGTCTCTTCAGGCGCGCATATTACTATGATCCCTAAGAAGTCTAACGATGCCTTTGAACCGCAAGCTTTCAGACCGATCTCACTGTTAAATGTGGACTTGAAGATTCTGAGCACCCGAATTAGCCCCCCTGGCGGTATTCCTGAGTGTAGCTCGGGGTAAAGTTTCAGCACCACAAGCGGTAACCCCCCCCTGAGCTACACTCGGGAATACACTGCAGTGTTGCTCCGGGATCTCTTCTGCACTTTACCTTGTCCTGCGCTCCCGCGATGTCCCCCCTGCAGTGTCCCCTGTAATGTCCTCCGGCCGATGCCGGCATCCGTCATCCGGGTTCCGTTCCCTGCGAGCGTCGGGACGTACGGGGGACAGAACTGGCGGGAAATTCAAAAATGTGAAAAAGTGACATTCAGTAAATCCACTAAAATCACATAGTATATACATTCCTGTATCAAAACCATTTCACATACATTGTGTCCCCATGAGTGCTTTGTCCGGCGCCCTGCCTGCATTTTTACTGTTCTTTCTGCCTGGAAACTGAGAAACGTCCATGGCGTCCAGAAAGCGTCCCTTTAGGTCAGACGCGGTTTTAGACCAGCTAGAGAACAGCGATAGTAAATCAGAACCACTTGCAGAATTGAGTGATAATGATTGGTGGGGGAAATTCCTCATCAGACACTGAAAACGATTCTGCGACTTTGCTCAGCAATGTGCGAACTTGGCGCTCTATTTCACATTTCAGTGTTTTTGGTTTGATTACATTATTGAATTAAATTTTATTATTATTATTTATGATTATTTATTATAATTTATGATTTCGCGTTTCAAATTTTATCCTACCCGGGATGTTTACTAGACTCTTGTTTGGACAGATTTCAGTGAGTTATTCCTAAAAATTACAGGTCTACAATAAAAAAAAACGACATATTTTCATGCAAAAAAAGTACCGCTTTGAGCACAGAAATATGGACATAATCAGACCGCTAGGGAGGTTAATAAGTATCTACTCTCACTTATCCATCGAGACTAGGTCGGCTTCATTCCGGGGCGACAAGCTGCTGATAACATCTGTAAAGTCATCTATCTCATTCATATCTTACATTGCCGCAGGATACGAGGGTTTATTTTATCTCTGGACATTTATAAAGCGTTTCGATTTGCTTTCTTGGGAGTATTTGACATAAATGCTGTCTAGATGGGGGTTTGGTGACGCATTTCTGGCTTGGATCTCAGCTTTATATTCGTCTCCCTCGGCCTCTGTTAACCATTAGCCGCCCGGCCAATGGCCGTTTGGCGGCTTCAAAAGTGCTTCGGCATTCCGGATGCACGCCATTTGGCGTGCTCCCGCACATGCGCAGTTTGCGCTAATGCAGGGACCCGCGCAGCGGCGCGACTGTCACCGGCCGTGTACCTCGGACACGGCCGATGACAGATCTGAGTATCGGCCCCGTTGCTGGTACCATGTGACCTGCTGTGACCAATCACAGCAGGTCACATGACAGTTGTATACAATGGATGGCTTCATTCATGCCATCCATTGTATACTAGTGCCTAGCTGTGAATGGTCACAGCAGGTCACATGCACATGTCATGTGATTAGCTGTGACCAAATCACAGCTAAGCACAAAAAAAAAAAAAAAAAAAAAAAAACCTGAATGAAATCGATTTCATTCAGGTGAATGCTTGCTTATAGCAAAGTAATTCTTTGCTATAAGCAAATTGTGTAAAAAAAAAAAAAAAAAATACTCATTACTTTGGTCATAATAAAATATGAAAAAGAAATCTTAAAAAAAAAAAAAAAAAAAAAAAAAAAAAAAAGTAATAAAAAATTAAAAATAATAATAAAAAAAAAACAAACGTATTTTTCGCTCCATAAGATGCACTTTTTTCCCCCAAAAAAAGGGGGGAAAATGTCAGTGCGTCTTATGGAGCGAATATAAAGTGGCCGGTCTGGTATTTTTGCGGCCACCATGTCAGAATACCGGGCCGGCCACTCAGCTGTTCTCTCCTTACCTGTTCCTCACTCCAGCGCTGCACAGTCTTCCCGCGCTGGCTTCTGTGACAGCCGGGTGCCCACTGCGCATTTGCTGTGCTTTGTGAATGATCCGGTGTCTTCTGGGACACATGACAGGTCCCAGAAGGCGCCGGGCCATTCACAAAGCGCAGCGCTTCTCGCGCTTGCGCAGTGGGCACCCGGCTGTCACAGAAGCCGGCCCGGGAAAGAAGGAAGGAAGGACAACTCCGCGGAAGTGGGAGCGGGTACCTGTCAAATTCAGGTACCCGCTTCCCCTCCCTTCCCAAAGGTCAGCAGTCTCTGGTCATCCCCTGCGCTGTGTCCGCAGTCTCTGGTCATCCCCTGCGCTGTGTCCGCAGTCTCTGGTCATCCCCTGCGCTGTGTCCGCAGTCTCTGGTCATCCCCTGCGCTGTGTCCGCAGTCTCTGGTCATCCCCTGCGCTGTGTCCGCAGTCTCTGGTCATCCCCTGCGCTGTTGTCCGCAGTCTCTGGTCATCCCCTGCGCTGTGTCCGCAGTCTCTGGTCATCCCCTGCGCTGTGTCCGCAGTCTCTGGTCATCCCCTGCGCTGTGTCCGCAGTCTCTGGTCATCCCCGCTGTGTCCGCAGTCTCTGGTCATCCCCTGCGCTGTGTCCGCAGTCTCTGGTCATCCCTGCGCTGTGTCCGCAGTCTCTGGTCATCCCCTGCGCTGTGTCCGCAGTCTCTGGTCATCCCCTGCGCTGTGTCCGCAGTCTCTGGTCATCCCCTGCGCTGTGTCCGCAGTCTCTGGTCATCCCCTGCGCTGTGTCCGCAGTCTCTGGTCATCCCTGCGCTGTGTCCGCAGTCTCTCTGGTCATCCCCTGCACTGTTAGTCCGCAGTCTCTGGTCATCCCCTGCGCTGTGTCCGCAGTCTCTGGTCATCTCCTGCGCTGTGTCCGCAGTCTCTGGTCATCCCTGTACTGTGTCCGCAGTCTCTGGTCATCTCCTGTACTGTGTCTGCAGTCCATTGGTTCAGAATATTTTTTTTTCTTGTTTTTTCCCCTCTAAAGCCTAGGTGCGTCTTATGGAGCGCAAAATACGGTATATTTTTTTTTTCACACTGTCACCAGTCAGTGTCCCTGATCACCGCCATGCCAGTTATATGATGCGCTGTACTGCACTGGTGACAGTATGTAAAAAAAAAAGAAATAGTGAAAATAATTTTTTTAATTTTTTCATTTTCCGAAAAATTATGACAAAAAAAAATACAACTTCAAAAAAACTCGCCATACCTCTTATGAAGTACGTCGGACTGTCTACTCTGCAAAAAGGGGTCATTTGGGGGATATCTGTACCGTCCTGACATTTGGGGATATCTGTACCGTCCTGACATTTGGGGGAGATCTGTACCGTCCTGACATTTGGGGGAGATCTGTACCGTCCTGACATTTGGGGGAGATCTGTACTGTCCTGACATTTGGGGGAGATCTGTACCGTCCTGACATTTGGGGGGAGATCTGTACCGTCCTGACATTTGGGGGAGATATCTGTACCGTCCTGACATTTGGGGATATCTGTACTGTCCTGACATTTAAGGGGATATCTGTACCGTCCTGACATTTGGGGGATATCTGTACTGTCCTGACATTTGGGGGATATCTGTACTGTCCTGACATTTGGGGGTACCGTCCTGATCTGTGGGGGGGGAGATCTGTACTGTCCTGACATTTGGGGGATATCTGTACTGTCCTTGACATTTGGGGGATATCTGTACCGTCCTGACATTTGGGGGATATCTGTACTGTCCTGACATTTGGGGGGATATCTGTCTGTCCTGACATTTGGGGGATATCTGTACTGTTCTGACATTCTTGGACCTCAAGAAATTAGATTGGCTGTCAGTACTTCAGGATTGATCAATATTCAGATCTATACCATAGTTTGTGAACTCTATAACTTTCCTACAAACTAAATAATACATCCTAATTTGGGATATTTTCACCAAAGACATGTAGCAGAATACATCTCGGCCTAAATTTATGAAGAACAATTATTTATTTGTAAACTTTTTATAACAGAAACAAAGAAAAACGTGTTTTTTTTTCAAAATTTTTGGTCTTTTTTTTGTTTATTTAGCAAAAAATAAAACCCCAGCGATGATTAAATACCACCAAAAGAAAGCTCTAGTTGTGTGAAGAAAATGATAAAATTTTAGTTTGGGTACAATGTTGTATGACCGCGCAATTGTCATTCAAAGTGTTGAGAGCGCTGAAACCTGAAAAATGGCCTGGGGAGGAAGGGGGTTTGTAAAATTGCCCGGTATTGAAATGCAGGTTTTTTTTCCTCATCTTTCCCTATTTTCAGAGGTGTTCAAAGATGTCATGCCTCTGAGCGCCTCTGCAGGAAGAGACCACTCTTAGTCTCCAAACGCGTCAGGGCAACATTTCCATGACCCAGCATTCATCATTAACACCAAAATTACACACTCTACGATATTTATCACCATAATTTATGTATTTTCACTGGTTATGTCTTTTTTTAAGATTGTATAAAATAAAATTGAGCGTCATGTTTTAACTGCTGATTTTAGTAGTCCGTTTACAGATCTGTGGCTTCAAAGTCCCACCCATTAGAAGACCTTTCCTCCCTTCGGTGGGAGCCAATGGGTGCTGCCTGTGAGAGAGAACTGCTGCAAACGGGTACAGCGTTGGATCTATACAGGACTGAGGTAAGCATTTGGGGGGGGGGGGGGAATACTGCTAATAGGGCATTTTTACCTGCATTAAATTGTTCCTGAACCCCCAACAGTACTATCAGTCTGTAGATGCAGTAAAGCATGCTTGTTATACTCACTGTGGAACTGAAGGGGTTAATCCTCTGCATTGTGTAAAAAGGCTGTTTGATCCTGTCTTCTCTAATCCTCCCCTTCTACTGTTTCCAATCCATCTACTGTTCGTACAGAACCCTAGGAGTCACTCTGCACACGCTCAGTTTAGTGTGTATTGCTAGTGTGTTTTTTTTTTCTTTGGGAGGGTGCATGTGATCAGCACAGGGCCAATCGGCGCTGTCCAGATAGAGGGTCAGGGGTTATGCAGCCTCATAGGACAGTCAGAGGAGAATGGAAATTACTCCTACAAGCTTCAACCAGTGCTCAGCTGGACACTGATAGAAGTCACAAGGATCTAGGAATACTTTGCCTGTGTCCTGTACATTTAAAGGAATCTGAAACATTTGTTAAGAATACACACTGGAATAGATCTTTTTTTAAACCAGAGTTTAAAGTGGTTGTAAAGGCTCAAGGCTTTTACCTTCATGTATTCTGTGCATGAAGGTAAAAAAACTGTGTGCTGCGCCCAAAAAATACCTTCCCTGACGCCCTTCGATCCAGCGATGTTCACACAATAGCCTAGGATGTATGGGGATTCTCCCTCCTCACTGGCTGAGTCAGCAGCGGGAGCCAGTTGGCGGGCGGAGCTCCGCACGGTCATGGTTGAGTTTGACAGCAGGTGAGCGGGGGCCAGTGTATTCATAACATGTTACATGGCACACCCTGAATATGGGTGTAACATGTTATGAAAGGTGAACTTGTCCTTTAACCGCCTCCCCCCCGCCATATAAGGAAAAGCAGGGCGGCGGTTCTCTTGCTCTGGGAGGACGTCATATGACGTCCTCCCACTCTAACTGCACATGCACGCCCCCGGAGGCGCGAGGCAACCAGTGGTGCGCTGCGTCCCTGGGAAACAGCGGATCACCAATCAGAGGAATGAGCCAATGACATCGGCTTTGTCATGTGATCAGCTGTGTCCAAACACAGCTGTTCGCATGTAAACAAGGAAATGCCGCGTGAGGAGAGCAGTAAGTGGCATTCCTCAGAGGGGACATCTGCACTGATCATAAGGGCACTGATGATCAGTGTAGCCCCATCAGTGCCACCTGTCAGTGCCCATCAATGCCACATACCAGTGCCCATCAATGCCACATACCAGTGCCCATCAATGCCACATACCAGTGCCCATCAGTGCACATCAATACCACATACCAGTGCCCATCAGTGCCACATACCACATACCAGTGCCCATCAATGCCACATACTTCACCAGTGCCCATCAGTGCACATTACCAGTGCCCATCAATGCCACATATCAGTGCCCATCAGTGCTCATCAATGTCACATATCAGTGCCCATCAGAGCTGCCTTTCAGTGCCAACTATCAGTGACAGTCAGTGCCGCTTATCAGTTGCAATTAGTGCCGCCTAACAGTGCCAGTCAGTGCCGCCTAATAGTGCCATATATGAGTGCTGCCTTTCAGTGCCCATCAGTGATGCCTGTCAATACCCACAAGTGATGCCTGTCGATGCCCATCAGTGCCACCTACCAGTGCCTCCTCCTCATCAGTGCCGCCTATCAGTGCAGCCTATTAGTGCCCATCACTGCAGCCTCATTAGCGCACTCAGTGAAGGAGAAAAAATTACTTATTTACAAAAATTTAACACAAACTAAAAAAAAAAAAAACTTTTTTTTTTTTCAAAACTTCGGTCTTTTTTAGTTTGTTTAGCAAAAAATAAAAAACCCCCAGAAGTGATTAAATACCACCAAAAGAAAGCGCTCTGTCTAAAAAAAAAAAAAAAAAAATTATAAAAATATATTGTTTGGGTACAGTGTTGCATGGCCGCGCAATTGTCAAAGTGCGACAGCGCTGAAAACGGGAAATTGGCCTGGGCAGGAAGATGGTAAAAGTGCCCGGTGGGCAAGTGGTTAAAATTGGGGAAATGGGGAAAAAAAAAAAAAAACTTTGAACAAAAAAAAAAAAAAAAAATTCTCGTAATTGTACTTCGAGAGAAAAAAAAATATATTAAAAAAGGAGATGTAGCAAATGCATCGCCTGCTTGGCTAAAGAGGGATTCCAGCTGCTTTAACATGGAAGGGCTCCCCTCCTTCACCCGCATGAATTTTCTGGTGCAATTGTATTTCAGCTGCAACATCACTTGCTGGCGAATATGGAAATCTATGAAGACCATTTGGATACAGCATGAGTACTACTGTACATTTAAAAAAAAAAAATAATAAAAAAAATAAAATAAAGAAGGCCCCAGCGCTGCCCGGGTCTGAAGATCAAAGTGCCACAATAAAGTATTACTCGATCCCCTCATGTTTTGCATTGTATTGGTATTGTTCTGTCTCATGTTCTGTCCCCCTTTGTAATGTACAGCGCTGAGCCAACTATCGGCGCTTTATAAATACTGTATAATAATAATAATAATTAATGTGCTGCTTGGATCCCTAGATTCCAGTATTCCTTTTCCATTCTGAGGTTTCTGGGGCAGTTTCTTGGGCTGTTATCAGTATAGTTTTGATAAATAAACGTGCAAAAGCATTATCTGCCCAAAGTTCGAGCACGATTGATCGATTTCAACCACTGCTACCTGGGGCAGATGATGCAATCTATTTTCCTCCACTTTGTTTTTGTTTTTTAACCTCCCTGATTATGTCCATATTTCTGCTCTCAAAGCGGTACATTTTTTTTGCACGGAAATATGTATTTTTTTTTATTGTAGGCCTGTAATTCTTAGGAATAACTCACTGAAATCTGTCCAAACAAGAGTCTAGTAAACCATCCCGAATATGATAAAATTTGAAACACGAAATCATAAATTATAATATAATAAATCATAAAAAATATATATATAATACATGTAATTCAATAATACAATTAAAACCAAAAACACTGAAATGTGAAATATAGCGCCAAGTTCGCACATCGCTGAGCAAGTCGCAGAATCGTTTTCAGTGTCTGATGAGGAATTTCCCCCACCAATCATTATCACTCAATTCTGCAAGTGGTTCTGATTTACTATCGCTGTTCTCTAGCCGGTCTAAAACCGCGTCTGACCTAAAGGGACGCTTTTTGGACGCCATGGACGTTTCTCAGTTTCCAGGCAGAAAGAACAGTAAAAATGCAGGCAGGGCGCCGGACAAAGCACTCGGGACACAATGTATGTGAAATGGTTTGATACAGGAATGGAATACTATGTGATTTTAGTGGATTTAGTGAATAGCACTTTTACAATTTTCAAATTTCCCGCCAGTTCCGTCCCCCGTACGTCCCAGACGTCGCAGGGAATGGAACCCGGAAGACAGATGCCGGCATCTGCCGGAGGAGATGCCGGGGACACTGCAAGGGGGACATCGCGGGAGCGCAGGACAAGGTAAGTGCAGAAGAGATCCCGAAGCAACGCTGCAGTGTATTCCCTGAGTGTAGCTCGGGGGGGGTTACCGCTTGTGGTGCTGAAACTTTACCCCGAGCTACACTCGGGAATACCACCAGGGGGGCTAATTGTAGATCAGCAGCCCATTACCAAAAAATCTTGAAATGTGGTAAAGTGATAATGGCACATAAATGTCCAACCCGCTTTCTTCTTACACCCAGTTTATCTAAGATGGGATAGCTTCCTCCCCCTCCCGTGTGTGTGCTGCTGAACCCCAATCTCATTTTATCCCCCCCCCCCCGCATTCTCACCAGGGTGGGGGGTTGCAGCTTTTGCATGATTGGATTGTCCCGCACAGACAGGTGAAGCTGGTATCCGCTGAAGATCAGTCTGTGATTTACGGAGTCCCCTACGAGGTGGATGCTGGCCCCCATCACGAACGTCATGATGCTGATATAGATCACCGAGTTTGGAAGAGTTTTTGGAGACCTTTCAATCAGCTGCAAGAGAAATCAAGAATATAAATGAATCAGAGTCTGACAAATCGGAGTAACAAAGTAATAATGCCATCATTTACTGCATATGGGAAATGGAGGTCATTATTCCATAGTGGCTGCCAATGCGTAGTAAAACGTTTTTCAGATTCCATACAGGAAGGAGCACAGGGTCTTTGCACCAAATCCTGTTCCTTGTAATAGGCATCACAGACTACGACCACAGGCAATGCCCTCCAGATGAAGAGATACACTATATTGCCTGAAGTATTGGGCCGCCGGCCTTTCCACGCACATGACCTTTAATGGCCCCCCAGTCTTAGTCCGTAGGGTTCAATATTGAGTTGGCCCCGCCCTTTCCCACACACATGACCTTTAATGGCCCCCCAGTCTTAGTCCGTAGGGTTCAATATTGAGTTGGCCCCGCCCTTTCAACATGACCTTGAGTGGCCCCCCAGTCTTAGTCCGTTTCATATTGAGTTGGCAGCTATAACAGCTTCAACTCTTCTGGGAAGGCCGTCCACAAGGTTTAGGAGGGTGTCTATGGGAAGGTTGGACCATTCTTCCAGAAGCACATTTGTCAGGTCAGGCACTGATGTCGGGGGAGGAGGCCTGGCTCGCAGTCTCCGCTCTAATTCATCCCAAAGGTGTTCTATGGGGTTGAGGTCAGGTCAGGACTGTGCAGGACAGTCAAGTTCCTCCACCCCAAAACTGGCTCCTCCATGTCTTTATGGACCTTGCTTTGTGCACTGGTGAGCAGTCATGTTAGAACAGGAAGGGGCCATCCCAAAACTCCTCCCACAAAGGTGGGAGCATGAAATTGTCCAAAATGTCTTGGTATGCTGACGCATTAAGAGTTCCCTTCACTGGAACTAGGGGGCCAAGCCCAACCCCTGAAAGACAACCCACACCATAATCCCCCCTCCACCAAACTTTACACTTGGTACAATGCAGTCAGGCAAGTACCATTCTCTGACAACCGCCAAACCCAGACACGTCCATCAGATTGCCAGACAGAGAAGCGCGATTGGTCACTCCAGAGAACACATCTTCACTGCTCTACAGCCCAGTGGCTACATAGTTCCATAGTTAGTCTGGCTGAAAAAAAGACAAAAGTCCATCCAGTTCAACCATAGAGAAAAAAAAAAAAAAGTTATAATCCTACACCCACAGTTGAGCCAGAGGAAGGCAAAAAAACCCCCAGCAAAGCTTGATCCAATTTGCACCTGCTGGGAAAAAAATTCCTTCCTAATTCTCCGAGAGGCAATCGGATATTCCCTGGATCAACTTTACCTAACTTTACACCACGGCATCCGACACTTTTCATTGCACTTGGTGATGGAAGGCTTGGATGCAGCTGCTCGGCCATGGAAACCCATTCCATGAAGCTCTCTACGCACTGTTGTTGGGCTCATCTGAAGGCCACACCAAGTTTGGAGGTCTTTAGCTATTGACTCTGCAGACAGTTGGCGACTTCTGCGCACTGTGCGCTTCAGCATGCGCTGACCCCGCCCTCTCATGTGACGTGGCCTACCACTTGGTGGCTGAGTGGCTGTTGTTCCCAGTTGCTTCCACTTTGTTATAATCCCACTAACAGTTGAGCGTGGAATATTTAGTAGCCAGGAAATGTCACAGATGGACTTATTGCACAGGTGGCCACCTATCACGGGACCACGCTTGGAGTCACTGAGCTCCTGAGAGCGACCCATTCTTTCACCAATGTTTGTAGAAGCAGTCTGCATGCCTAGGGGCTTGATTGTATACACCTGTGTCCATGGAGGGGATTGGAGCACCTGAATCACATGATATGGAGGGGATTGAAATGAAAACAGACACAGTTTTTGTTTTATCCAGCTGTATTTACGAAGTGCAACTTATAACATCCAAGTGAAGGATAGAAAACCAACCTGTCAGAAAAAAATTCAAAAACAGGATCACTGATTTGGAAAAAGGATTGCCCCACTCCTAAAAATGACTCGTAAACTCAATCAGGTGTAGCTAATCACCTTCTCAATGCCATTTGACTTTCACCTGTGATCAGCTGTGGTCATTTTGATTGGCTCAGCATGAAAAGAGCTTTCCTGGAGCATTTCAGTCACTGATAGTGCAACTGAAGCAAACAATCAACTATGGGTGTCAAGGCACTGTCACTGGGATCTCCAGAATAAAGTTGTGGACAGGCACAAGTCAGGAGATGGATCCAAAAAAAAATTCAAAGGCTTTATCAATGCCTAGAAGCCGAGTGAAGTCTATAATTGAGAAGTGGAAGGTATCTGGTAGAACACAGACCCTCCCTGGATCAGGACGTCGCTCCAAAGTGGATGAAAGAGCCAGGAGGAAACTGGTCAGAGAGGCTACCAAGAGGCCTCCAACAACTCTGAAGCCGTGTCAGGAATTAATGACAAAGAGCGGTCAATCAACTATGGGTGTCAAAGGCACTGTCACTGGGATCTCCAGAATAAAGTTGTGGACAGGCACAAGTCAGGAGATGGATACAAAAAAAAGGTCAAAGGCTTTGTCAATGCCTAGAAGCAGAGTGAAGTCTATTATTAAGAAGTGGAAGGTATTTGGTAGAACACAGACCCTCCTTGGATCAGGACGTTGCTCCAAGCTGGATGAAAGAGCCAGGAGGAAACTGGCCACGGAGTATACCAAGAGGCCTACAGCAACTCTGAAGCCGTGTCAGGAATTGATGACAAAGAGTGGCTGTTGTGTGCGTGTGACATCAATATCACAAATCCTCCACAAATGTGGCTTGTATGGGAGGGGTGCAAGAAAAAAGCCGCTCCTCAAGAAAGGCCGCATGCCGTCACCACTGAGCTTTGCCAAAACGCAAGTTGAAGATTCTGAGAACATGTGGAGAAAGGTCCTCTGGTCAGATGTGACTGAAATAGAATGATTTGGCCTCAACACTAAACAATATGTCTGGCGGAAACCCAATACAGCTCATAATCCAAACACCACCATTCCTACAGTAAAGCATGGAGGGGGCAATATCCTGTTATTGAGGGGGGTGGTAATATCCTGTTATGGGGGGTTTCTCTGCAGCAGGGACTGGAGCACTTGTCAGGATAGGAGGAAAAATGGATGGGGCAAAATAACGTCACATTCTGGAGGAACATCTGCTGCCCTCTGCCAGAAAGTGGTCAATGGGAAGAAGGTTTACCTTCCAACATGACAATGACCCAAAGCACACAGCAACAATGGCCCCCCCAGTGGTTGGAGAAGGAGGTGAATGTCCTTGCATGGCCTAGTCAGAGCCCAGACTTCAACCCCATTGAAAATCTGTGGAATGACTTGAAGACTGCCGTCCACAAACCGTCACCATCAAATGTCACTGCACCTGAGCAGTTCTGCGAAGAAGAGCGGGCAAATATCGCAAAGTCTAGAGGTGCAAAGTTAGTAGAGACAAATCCCAACAGACTAAAGGCTGGAATTAAAGTAAAAGGGGGTTCAACAAAATACTGACACAAGGGTTGGGGGTGATCCTTTTTCCAACTCGGTGCGTTTTGTTTTTTGAATTTCTTTCTGATATGTGTTATATCTTTCACTTAGAGGTTATAAGTTGCACTGCGTAAATACAGATGGATAAAACAAAAACTGTGTCTGTCTTCATTTCAGGCTGCAAAGCAACAAAATGTGATTATTTTAAAGGGAGGGGGAGGGGTGATTCTTTTCTATACCCGCTGTATGTTGAAACATTTATAGGTAAAACAAATTCAAATTTTGTTTCTCTAATTTTACCTTTAGAAGCAGCAGAGGAGTAATGATGTTATACGCCATGTGGAAGTAGTCTCCTGCGCTGGGCTTGTTCAGAGGAAACCAGTCCAAGGGAAGGATTATCTGTACAGGAAACAGAACTAATTCACTACAGCTTAGCAGGGTTTATAATGACTTTTAATACATACTATATACATGGAAACACAACAATATACACGGCTCCAAAAAATGAAAGGAACACTTTGAAAACCCATCAGATCTCAATGGGGAGGAATCTCCTGCTGGATCTCTATACTGACATGGACGGGGTGATGGGTGAGGAACGTAAGGACGCCCCATCATTGGATGGAAATGAAAATGATCGACCTACAGAGGACTGAATTCAAAGACACCCTGAAAATCAAAGTGAAAAATGATGCAGCAGGCGAGTCCATTTTGGTGAAATGTCATTGCAGCAACTCAGAATTTTATTATTATTATTATTATTATACAGTATTTATAAAGCGCCGATAGTTCGCTCAGCGCTGTACATTACAATGGGAGACACAACATGCGACAGTACAATAACAATACAATGCGATACACGAGGGGTTCGAGGGCCCTGCTCCTTGGAGCTTACAATCTAGGAGGAAACAGGAGGAAATAGCTGTGGGGGATGGAGTGGTAGGAAGAGTGGAGGAGGCCGGAATTTTGCAGGGGGTGGGGTAGGCTTCCCTGAAGAGATGGGTTTTCAGGGTACGCCTAAAGGAAAGGAGAGTAGGTGATAGTCTGATGGATTGGGGTAGGGAGTTCCAGAGTATGGGTGACGCCCTGGAGAAGTCCTGGAGGTGGGCATGGGAGGAGGAGACCAGGGAACTAGAGAGAAGGAGGTCTTGTGAGGAGCGGAGTGTGCGTGTTGGGTGGTACTTGGATATTAGGTCGGTGATGTAGTTCGGGGCAGTATGGTGGACGGCTTTGTACGTCAGTGTTAGGATTTTGAATATGATCCGTTGGGCAATCGGAAGCCAGTGGATGGATTGGCAGAGGGGGGTGGCGGAGATGGAGCGGTTGGTAAGGTGGATGAGAATGGCCCTCAGTAGTTTGTATGGCCCCCACGTGCTTGTATGCATGCCTCACAACGTCGGGGGGGCTTCTAATGAGACCGCGGATGGTGTCCTGAGGGATTTCCTCCCAGATCTGGACCAGGGCATCACTGAGATCCTGGACAGTCTGAGGTGCAACCTGGTGGCGTTGGATGGACCGAAACATGACATCCCAGAGGGGTTCTATTGGATTTAGGTCAGGTGAGCGTGGGGGCCATTCAAGGGTATCAATTCCTTCATCCTCCAGGAACTGCCTGCATACTCCCCCACATGAGGCCAGGCATTGTTGTGCACCAGGAGGAACCCAGGACCCACTGCACCAGCGTAGGATCTGACAATGGGTCCAAGGAATTCATCCCCATACCTAATGGCAGTCAGGGTGCCATTGTCTAGCCTGTAGAGGTCTGTGTGTCCCTCCATGGATATGCCTCCCCAGACCATCACTGACCCACCACCAAAATGGTCATGCTGAACCATGTTATAGGCAGCAGAACGTTCTCCACGGCTTCTCCAGACCCTTCCATGTCTGTCATATGTGCTCAGGGTGAACCTGCCCTCATCTGTGAAAAGCACAGGGTGCCAGTGGTGGACCTGCCAATTCTGGTGTTCAATGGCAAATGCCAATCCAGCTCTATGGTGCCCGGCAGTGAGCACAGGGCCCACTAGAGGACGTCGGGCCCTCAGGCCACCCTCATGAAGTCTGTTTCTGATTGGTCAGAGACATTCACACCAGTGGCCTGCTGGAGGTCATTTTGTAGGGCTCTGGCAGGGCTCATCCTGATCCTCCTTGCACAAAGGAGCAGATACCGGTCCTGCTGATGGGTTAAAGGACCTTCTACCTGACACTGCTCCTTTAATTTTTTGGAGCAGTGTATATTCTTCTGCAGTTGCTATCACTCACGTAAAACTATCGGTATATTTTTATAGAAAGATCCAATCTAACTATTAAATATCTCCAGCGACGTTACTTACAGTCCAACTCCAGGCTCTGTCTTCTTTTTTGGAGGGGGGGGGGGGGGGGGGGGAGGACCCGTTAGGAGTGCGCCCTGTTCCCTGTTAGTCAGAGGCTGACCTAAGTTTAGTCAGTGATTTGGATGGGCAGATGTTTTGTTTGATTAAAAGCAATCAGTGTGTAAAAAAAAAATAAAAAAAAAATCTTCATCACCCCCTACAAGTAGTACAGTGTCACCATGGTGACCCTGTACTGCTAGGATGATGGTATGTAAAAAAAAAAACCCAAAAACATAACAATATAAAAAAATAAATAAAAATGTAAAAAAAAAAAAAAAAATTTAAAAAAATTATAATTTTTGGTTATAAACTAATTTGGGTTATTTTTTTTTAATAAAAAGATAACGGAATAAATTTTGGGCAAGATTTATGATGAAATATTATTTATTTGCAAAATTTTATAAAAAAAACTTTTTTCAAAATTTTTGGAATTTTTTTATTCATATAGCAAAAAAAATAAAAAAACCCAATGATGAATAAATACCACCAAAATAAAGCTCTATCTGTCTCAAAAAATGCTGGAAGGGGGGGGGGGGGGAAGCGTCCGGACTGGAAGGGGGGGGAAAGCGTCCGGGACTGGAAGGGGGGGGGGGGGCAAAGCGTCCGGACTGGAAGGGGGGGGGGAAAGCGTCCGGACTGGAAGGGGGGGGGGGGAAAGCGTCCGGACTGGAAGGGGGGGGGGGGGGAAGCGTCCGGACTGGGAAGGGGGGGGGGGGGGAGCGAAGCGTCCGGAGGAAGGGGACTGGAAGGGGGGGGGGGGGAAGCGTCCGGACTGGAAGGGGGGGGGGGGAAAGCGTCCGGACTGGAAGGGGGGGGGGGGCAAAGCGTCCGGACTGGAAGGGGGGGGGGGAAAGCGTCCGGACTGAAGGGGGGGGGGGAAAGCGTCCGGACTGGAAGGGGGGGGGGGGAAAGCGTCCGGACTGGAAGGGGGGGGGGGGGTCCGGACTGGATAGGGGGGTGGGGGTGAAAGCGTCCGGACTGGAAGGGGGGGGGGGAAAAGCGTCCGGACTGGAAGGGGGGGGGGGGAAAGCGTCCGGACTGGAAGGGGGGGGGGGAAAGCGTCCGGACTGGAAGGGGGGGGGGGGGAAAGCGTCCTTCTGCTGGACTGGAAGGGGGGGGGGGGAAAGCGTCCGGACTGGAAGGGGGGGGGGGGGAAGCGTCCGGACTGGAAGGGGGGGGGGGGGATGAGTTATCGGAAAGGTGGGGCGGAGCGTCCGGACTGGAAGGGGGGGGGGGGAAGCGTCGGACTGGAAGGGGGGGGGGGTAAAGCGTCCGGACTGGAAGGGGGGGGGGGGGGGGAAGGACCCGTTAGGAGTGCGCCCTGTTCCCTGTTAGTCAGAGGCTGACCTAAGTTTAGTCAGTGATTTGGATGGGCAGATGTTTTGTTTGATTAAAAGCAATCAGTGTGTAAAAAAAAAAATAAAAAAAAAAAATCTTCATCACCCCCTACAAGTAGTACAGTGTCACCATGGTGACCCTGTACTGCTAGGATGATGGTATGTAAAAAAAAACCCCAAAAACATAACAATATAAAAAAATAAATAAAAATGTAAAAAAAAAAAAAATTTAAAAAAATTATAATTTTTGGTTATAAACTAATTTGGGTTATTTTTTTTTTAATAAAAAGATAACGGAATAAATTTTGGGCAAGATTTATGATGAAATATTATTTATTTGCAAAATTTTATAAAAAAAACTTTTTTCAAAATTTTTGGAATTTTTTTTATTCATATAGCAAAAAAATAAAAAACCCAATGATGAATAAATACCACCAAAATAAAGCTCTATCTGTCTCAAAAAATGCTGGAAGGGGGGGGGGGAAGCGTCTCCGGACTGGAAGGGGGGGGGGGGAAAAGGGAAGCGTCCGGACTGGAAGGGGGGGGGGGGAAAGCGTCCGGACTGGAAGGGGGGGGGGGGGGGGGGAAGCGTGGACGCGGACTGGAAGGGGGGGGGGGGGGGGGAAAGCGTCCGGACTGGAAGGGGGGGGGGGGGAAAAGCGTCCGGACTGGAAGGGGGGGGGGGAAAGCGTCCGCCCCCGCGCCAAGGGGGGAAAAGCGCCGGACTGGAAGGGGGGGGGGGAAAGCGTCCGGACTGGAGGGGGGGGGGGGGAGAAAGCGTGCGGACTGGAAGGGGGGGGGGGGAAAGCGTGCGGACTGGAAGGGGGGGAAAGCGTGCGGACTGGAAGGGGGGGAAAGCGTGCGGACTGGAAGGGGGGGGGAAAGCGTGCGGACTGGAAGGGGGGGAAAGCGTGCGGATGGAAGGGGGGGGAAAGCGTCCGGACTGGAAGGGGGGGAAGCTGTGCGGACTGGAAGGGGGGGAAAGCGTCCGGACTGGAAGGGGGGGAAAGCGTGCGAACTGGAAGGGGGGGAAAGCGTGCGGACTGGAAGGGGGGAAAGTGTGCGGACTGGAAGGGGGGGGGAAGTGTGCGGACTGGAAGGGGGGGAAAGTGTGCGGACTGGAAGGGGGTAAAGAAGAATTGCAGGTATGGATATTGTTACATTTTGTGCTGCTTGGACCCATCTAAGTATAGAGCTGGCTGGGAGCTGGAAATCATTGAAGTAGGTGCCGCTAATCCAGTGATCTCCACTTGTTGAGCTGCCTGATGCTTACTAAATACAGAAGGTTGGACAGTCAGCACAATGCCAATCACAGAATTCTTTGCATCTTCTGAATGAATGCAAAGGGTTCTTTGAATGGACGAGGTGGAGATCATGATATCACTGCCCCGTCTCTCCACCTTGTCCATTCAGAGAATGCTTTGCATCTATTCAGCACAGTGGCTAAATGGTTAGCACTTCCACCTGGCAGTACTAGGGTCGTTGGTTTGAATCCCAACCACGGCACCACCTGCCTGGAGTTTGCATGTTCTCCCTGGGCCTGCGTGGGGTTTCCTCCCATACTCCAAAGACATGCTGGTAGGTTAATTGGCTCCTGTCTAAATTGGCCCTAGTATGTGTATGTATGAATGTGAGTTAGGGACCTTAGATTGTACGCCCCTTGAGGGTTAGGGACTGATGTGAATGTACAATA